AGTTGAATGTACTAATCCTAAGTACATGTAAGATCCTTGGTCTTAGATTTCCCATATATCTATCCTGTTACTTAGCAATTCAAGAAATGATCTAATAAAGTTAATGATCCATGAAGAAGGCAAAAGTAAACTCTTCTAATGGAGCATCTAGTTCACTTCTCTGCACGTGTAAGAAGGCATCTTAATGAACTAAATGAGTCTGAATATTTAAACTCTGAATAACTTACATGAATTGTTCTCTGAATTTAAAGCAGTATTTGATATACAACCAAAATCTTAGAGGCTTGGGTTCATTGGCTGCTTCCTTCCTGGAAAGTATTGAAAATGTCCTTTCCAATCATTTTGAAAGTATACATGATAGAAGAGCTCTGGGGCAGCTATCAGAAGAAACATAAAAGAAATATATGAAAGGATGATATTGGGATAAGAAGAAAGAGTTGGCTGCAAGAAATTTTTGAGTATATTATGCAGAAACAGACAGAGTTTCTGTTTGTATTCCATGAATGATCTACCAAACAGATTCCTATCTTCACAAAGAGAAAAATTATGGAGCATGAGGAGGTTTGAAAGTCTTAACACGAGTAAATTATAGCATCCTCTGACATTTTAAAGTGATTTCAGGAAAATATAGTGCTTTATTGACCACATTAGCATTGATGACAGTAACCATAAACAAGGATTTGGAGATTCTTCTCAACTGTCTGAGAAATTGTCTGTAAAAATAGGGGCCACTGACAGCATCACTGAACTACTTTCCCTTATCCTGGGCTATAACCATTTTGGGGGTATCAAATCTAACCTAACACATTACACAAAAAGCCTTCCCTTTGACATGAACCTGTGTTGCAGATGGTGTAATGACATATTCACCTGCACTCTATCACAAAGCAGTTCTTCATTTACTAAAACAAACGCCATCTTGTTTCAAGTCTTTGACCTTTAGACTACCATTCCTTTCCCATAACCATCCCTCAGATGAAAATAGTTCCAGGTCCTCTAAATGTCATAGCAACTCATTTAAAACTCCAGTGGATGTTCTCTAGAGTGAGACTCAAACTGGACACCGAGAACCCATGTCCCTACCTGTGAACAGGAAATGAGAAGTTATTAAACTGGATCTAGAATCCCTCAGGGATGAATTTGGTCAGATGTTGTGTTGACTTTATTTTAGCAATGTAGTCAGCATAGTTTTGTGGTTGTGTTAGTTTTGTGTTTCTCTCCCGATGAAACATGTAAATCTTTTTCACTTGTCAAAAGACGTTTTAAAAATTTAAGTTTTTTCTGAGTGCTTTTCTCAGTGGTTGAAGATTTTTGATCTCTTCCTTCCTAGTACACGTGCTGCTGAAGCACGTGATCCCTTGCTTTCTGACTGTGGTGGACATCAATTGCTTTGTTTCTCCTACTCGCCTCATACTCTAGTTATAGTATTTCTATTATTTGAGGCAAACTGACCTCACTTCCTTCCTCACTGCTATGGTTTGAGTGCATGGCTTCCTAGTCTTGTGGTGAAGGTCAAGTAGGTGTGAATGCTTTTGCCCCCTCTGAAATTCATGTGTTAGAACCATTGTTGACATGACAGAGTTTCATGGGGTGAAGCCTTAGAGAAGCTGTTTAGGTCATGAGGGCTTTGCCTCTGAATGGACTGACTCTTCTGCAGAAATTCTGTGGGAATACATGCACTCTCTTCTGTTCTTCTGCTGCATGAAAACATACTGCTCTTATTCCCTGCAAGATGCAGCAATGGTGCTTTCAAGAATCACAGGCTCATTCAATAGACAGTATGAACCTGGGCTTCCCAACCTCCAAAGGTCCAAATTTGAGATAAGCTTTCTTCTTCATAAATTACCTGATATTCAGAGTTTCTTATAACTTGTTCTCGTTTGTTTGTTTGTTTGGACGGTATTTTATTTGGGTGGGTGATTTTTAGTGCTAGAAATCAAAACCTGGGCTTCGTACATCTTAGGCAGTCGCTGAGCCACGTTCCAGCTCTAGTCTGTGGTTTTCTGTTGTAGCAGCACAAATGCTAAGATTACCACCTCCATCAAGCTTTCCTCTTGGGAGGGTGTAGCCTGTATGTTGACTGAGTCACCATAAACCGTGCACGGATATATGAGCTAATTAATTATAAATACAAAAAAAAGCCTTTCCAACAAAACAAGTCCTTACTTACGCATAACTTGTTATCTAATGCTTTCTTTTCAAGTCTTTGACGTTTAGACTATCCTTCCCTTCCCACAACCACCCCTCAAATGGAAATAGTTCCAGGTCCTCTAAATGTCATAGCAATACTTTTAAAACTCCAATGGATGTTCTCTAGAGTGAGACTCAAACTGGACACCGAGAACCCATGTCCCTACCTGTGAACAGGAAATGAGAAGTTATTTAACTGATCTAGAATCCCTCAGGGATGAATTTGGTCAGATGTTGTGTTGATTTCATTTATCTTCTCAACTTTGAGTTCTATATAATCTTTTAGTTATTACTGTAGTAAATGACCCTAAAGTTGGTAATCTACATAATATAAATTTATTATCTTACTGTTCTATAGGTCAGAAGACCAATGCTAGTCTCAAGATCTCAAATCAACATGTTGTCAGTTGAATTCCTCTCTGGAGACTGCTGGGACAGTCTGTTTTCCTGTCTTTCCCAGCCTGTGAATGCTCTCTGGGTCCCTTGGCCCATGGCTCATGCATTCCATGTTCAGAGGCAGCAAAGCCTGTGTCCTTGAGCATCCTTCTGCAGTCACGTCCGCCTCTAACTCTGATTCCTACTGCATGGGGTTCTTCTAAGGACTCTTTTTTTTTTTTTTAATTATTATTTTAAAAATAAAAGGTGAAAAATACTAACAGACAGACAACATTTTACAAAATAGCAAAGGATCAGTACAGACAGTACAGAGTTACAAAGAGAGTGGTATGGAATTAACAATGCTTGTTGTATTACATATTGATATCTTCAAAGTGGTTTCTCATGAAAACAGATATAGACATACAAAGCTGATCAAGCAAGGACTCATTGACAGTTTCTTTCAGCAAGGAAATACAAGACAGTAGAACACCCGTGTTAACTATCCTGCATATACATACATACAAACTTTCTCCTTCTTTCCCTTGTCTTTTCCCATATTCCAGTTATCCTTTACCTATGAGTGCTTTCCTATCAATTCCCAATGTCTATCATATCTCCTAGTTTAAATGAACTCTTTCAGGCTTTACACTAAAGAAACAGTGCAGTGCTTGCAGATGTGTGTTTGATTTATTTCACTTATGAGTATGGTCTCTAGTTGTGACCATTTACCTATAAAAGCCCCAAGTTTATCTTTCTTTACAGCTGAGTAATATTCCATTATACAGACTCCACAGAAATTCAGAAGATCATTAATACCTACTTTGAAAATCTTTACTCCCATAGGATAGAAAACTCAGAAGAAATGGACAGATTCTTAGATACGTATGAACTACCAAGGTTGAGTCAAGAAGATATCAAATTCCTGAACAGCCCAATATCAATTAATGAGATTGAAAGAGTGATTAAAAATCTACCGACAAAGAAAAGCCCAGGCCCTGATGGATTCACAGCAGAATTTTACAAGAAATTCAGAGAAGATTTAATACCACCCCTCTTCTAAGGACTCTTGTGATTAAGTTGAACTGACCTGAACAGTTTGGAACAATGTCCTCATTCAAAGTTTTCAGTTTTAAACAGTTGTGCAAATTTAATTTTGCCATGAAATGCAACATAGTTCTGGGAATTTAGGTGCACATAGCTTTGGGTAGGCGGCAGTATTATTGTGCCCGCAAGTAAAAATTAGGAAACCATTCCTTTTCTCATATTGTTCAACTTAGCAATACAAACGTCAGTTAGAAGAAAGCAAAGTCACCTTCCACATTAGTGGTAATTATGCTAACCAACATTATTTGGGAACTGTTTTCCTTTTAAAATATCTTCAAAACTGTTTTACCAGATGAAAATTCCTGCAGGTTTTATCTCTTTTCCTGAAAATAAGTTTAGTGATATTCACTTGACTTTCCCAGCATACAGTCAGAATGCAACATTTGACATGTGGAATGAAAAGTATTTCCATATCCATATCAGAGCCTTGAAGCCCAAGGCTACTTAGTATCTTTCAGGAGTGTTGAGAGTGTAGCCATGTTTCCTGTCTCTGTTTGACTAATTTCTGTGTTTCCCTAAACTGCTAGCACAGCATCAGCCAGGGAAGACTGGATTCCCCACAGACACTGTACTATCACAGCCCGAGAAGCAACCTGCATCTCCTGGTGGAAGGCAAGCTTTCCCTGCAGCCAGCAGGAACCTTCAGGAGGCAAAGACCCTGCATAAAGAGCAAGCTGAACAACCATCCCAAACCTTTAAAGTGCTTATGGAATGGTTCATTCTGCAATGATCTCATACTGTCTCTAATTTTATTGATTTTGTTTTTCAATAGAACTGCGAAAGATTACAATTCTAAGACAGGCATACTGTGGGCAGATGCTCACATTCGCACAAGCATTTCTGCCAAGATATTTTTACATCTTTCAGCACATAAAACAAAATGAAGACATGTGTTGTAGATGCACGCTACCAGCAACCAACCAGGAGAAGGGAGTTTATTGTATGCTCATTTCCTGGATGAAGTATTAAAATAATTCTACCTAGGAAAAATGAGCAGCACTTTCAAAATAAAAGATTTGCTTCTGAGGCAACTTGTAAAACATTCTTAATTGCCAGAACTTGTGGAACTGGCAATGTGGGCCATCAGATCCAAATGCCATCTCTGCTATTTCTAATTCAACAGAGACTTCATGCCACATCTACCGGTTCAACGTCGAAATCAAAACGCTGCAACAGCTTACAGCTCCGTTGATTCGTCTACTGTGTTCATTGGAAGGGCTCATTTCAAATATACGACATGAAAGGAAGGAAGCAAATTCAGGAAAGACTTGGAATTAAGCCCTCAAGAAAAACACTCTGGAGTAACATCTGTGAATTCATAGCCTTACCTTGGGGGACGTGGGTGGTTCTGCCGTGCTTTCTTCTGCTAAGGTGAGCAGGGTTAACTTGGTTTCCTTCACTGGAGGATGTTTGGGAGGCAGAGGCGGGGGGTGCAAGACAGAGCTTTCGTATCTCCGCATCATGTAGTACTGTTCTTCTGTAATCTCTTCTATCAGAGCTCTGACGATATATGATCCTGTGTCCCCGGAAAAATTACCAACTAACTGAAAAGTCATATTCAGGCGGCCCATGGGAATCTCCCAACATTCCGCGGGGTTGGTAACCTCACTTATAAGCAGGTAAGAGTCTGTGATATCTTCCTCCAGCTGCAGTGCTGGGGTCGCAGCCAAAATGTCCTCTTCAATGGAAAGATCCCTCACAGACACCTTCACGTTGAATGGCAAGCGGAACTGCTTAGAGAGCTCAGAAATCTGGTACTGTTTCTTGTCATGAATCACCTCCACGAAACCTCCTTCCATGTACAGAGGGAGCCGTGCAGCCTCATACGACTTCTTGAGGATTTTTTCACAGGCCAGAACATTCACCACTGTCTTTCTTCCCTCGCAGAGCACTTCAGTAGTGTCTGAGTGATGCACTAGATACTGGTCCCCAACGGACACGGAGGACAGCTCCTCGTGGGGCGAATGAAAGGCTTTGGTGGCCACTACGTGGAGGGATTCCTTCTCACTCCGAGCTAGCTCTAGGTCGTACGCGGTCGGGAACTCCCGAGGTCGCCGCTTGAATTTGCCTTTGTAGCTACTGGGAATCAAGAAGTGTCTTTTAGGAAAACTGCTTCTGATTTCTGAGGCTAAGATCCTTGATGCTTGGTACTTTTGATGGATCACAATGATTTTCCCAGGCTGTAAAATGTTTCGGGGCACCTGGTTTCCTTGAGGTGCTTCTATGACTTCAGCCACTATGGGAAACTCTGTACCAGTCATTTCAAAGAGATCTTTTGTAGATAACAGCTGAAGAAACCAGTTCGCATCGCAGGAGTCAGTTATGTCTTTGACTTCGACGTCTAGACTGGGGAGAATGCGGACTATATCCTTCTGAACTGAAAAGGAAGGAAAAAAACAATGACATCTCTGGCCTCAAAATGTTTGCTGTGAGATACCCTCTTGGTGCTGTAAAATTGCTTTTTTTTTAGTTTTTATTTTTATTAGGACATGTTAATAGTACATAATCATTGCATTCGTCATGAGGAGTTGGTATATATACACAAACATCTTCATTCTTTCAGAAAAGAAAGTATTCAGGTGAACATAATATACTGTTTCTGACATGTGAGCTTCATTTGCTTAAATGTTAAGAGGAAAGAGATTATATTTGACGTAGCACAATTGTCCTATATATTTTATGTGTTCTTTGGTCTGTCAGTCTGGTTTTCAATCTGTATACATGATCCTTAACTTTATAAGGTCTTATAAGATAAATAAATGAATCTAATGTTAGAAAAATAAAAAGGGGTAGAGGGATGGGGAAAGAATGAAATTGAAATGTGTTATGTACATGTACCAAGCCCCTACAATGAATTTAGTAACTGTTATGTACTGCAAAAAGTACTATAACAATAAAAAAATCTGTAACCCCATGCTACACTGATCTTAGCCAAAAGGCCTAGAAGCGATGTAACCCCATGCTTATTTAAGAAATAAGCAACCAGTCTTTTGGAGCCTAATGAACTCCCTCAAGATCCTCCTCCTCACCGCTACCTAAAGGCAACCATTCTTTTGATTCTAGTGTTACCCAGTCCTGTGTATTTACTTACAGTCTTACGACATATCCATGAACATATATATATGTACATATATATAATATATATGAATATGTATCTAAATGTGATATGTGGTATCATTGTAAGTCATGTTCTTGATGCCTAGACGTTATATGTAAAATTATTAAAGATGAGTTTTGGTATTCCAGACAAGATTCTTCATGCATAAAGCCCAACTTGTATATTCTTTTTACTTATCCTGTGGGGTAAAACAACACAGCAGATTCATCAGATACAAAGTACTTAAGATTAATGTATGTAAAAAGTTATCAAATGCAATCTTTCCCAATGTCAAAGCTATTTCTTTTTCTACGAGTGTCAGGTTACTCCTGGATAGGAAAGCGTGGTGACAGAGGGTCACAGCCACTCAGAGCCCTTGGCATAGTGACAGATGCTTTACCACTGCGTCCCTGAGGAAAAGAGTCACCGTATTATTTCAATAATTCTTTACGTCTACAGAGACACACTGTTTTACCGAAATCATGCATCTGTTCTTTACGTACTACTCACACAGTATCATTGTGAATGGTCCTGAGTTAAAAATAAGACAATGTGTTAACATTAGCAGGACTTTATAATAGTTTGTATGTTTTTGATGGTTTTCTAACATAAGCTTTATAGCATTTTCATGATTCCCTATTGTTTCTTAATATTTTTAATCACTGTTAATATTCCTTCTTCCTTCGATGTTTTTGAAAATGAACAATTTGGGAAACTTAGAAGATATAGTTCATTGCTATAAACATTGCTTTTGTTACCACTTTTCATATCACTAACTGTTTAGGGAACATCTGAAATCCTGAATTCTATACATTGTATCATATTGTACAGTCTGTATAATCGAGCTGTAAAGACACAGCAGGAAAAAGTATTACCATATTTTCTGGAGATTAAAAATGAAATCAACTGTTGTCAACAGACTGAAAATTGTAAAGATTTTTAAAATTTTCTTAGAAAAGAATAGGATTGAAAACAACATTTCTTATATTAATCATTTTATTTTATAAAGTTTAGCACACCTTAAGTTTTGTTAGCTATTGTTATTGTAGGTTTCCCAGAAGCCAATTTTAGAAATCAAAATCTTGTTTTGAATTTTAGAAATCAAAAAAGAAAATTGTTAGAAATTTTAGAAATCAAAATGTTGTTATTTTGACCAAAGTGAATTACATTTACTAACTCCAGAGCTAGCTCTAGATAGACATCCTAGTCTTATGCCATCCATCAAGTCTAGGGAAGAACGAGAGATTGTAGAGTAGATTCCATTAAGACTTTTTGGATGCTGTACATTATCCTATCAGATCATATGGGCCCTAAGTTAGATAGCAATATATATTTGTGCACGGTGCATTCTGTCAGCCCGGCAATAGTCTTATTACCTTTGGAGGGCTCTCTTTCTGCCAGGGAAGGGTGCCAGGCCAGGCTACCTAAACTCAGTGAATTTTCTGTATCTGCTCCCTGACCTTCCTTCAGTACTTCTGTTCCTAACTGGACTGAACGAATGCTGGTCTACCACATTACACATCTCACACAAATAGCATTAGACATAGCAGATTTGACTCCTTCTGCTTGGACATATTTTCCTCTTATCTTGTGATTCTGCTCAGCTTTTACTGCTATTTTTTCCTCTAGATACCACCCACTACTCACACACGCAGTGGTAAATGTGTCTTGGTTCTGTCACTTTCTTAGTGTCTATTCATGCCTAGAGTGATCTTCTATAGTGTTATGTGTTTAAATATCTATATGGTTCTGTCTTCCCAGGGGATAGCCTAGAAAATAATTCTCCTGAACTCCAGATACTACTTTAGATACTCACTTCGACATCTAGTACATTCTCACAATCAGCTTGCCCCAACTGAATCTGATCTTCTTGACAAAACTTCGATTATCTGGTACTTTCTGTATGTTGGTTGTTGGGAACTCCTCTTTCTTCCCGTAATCCATAAACCTCAGAGACATCCTTAGCTTCCCTCTTTTTCTAACACTTGAGGCTCTTTTCATCAGAAATACTCTGGTCTTCCACATTATCTCTCACCTGGTTTATTGCAGTGGTTTCCGAATGAGTATCCATGCCCTGAGATCTTGGTGGAGTGACTAGAGAGTCTCTTTAAATTTTGAACGGATTGTGTCTGCCATCTGTTCATACACCTGCAGTGTCAGTTCTTTTTATGCTGAAGAACAGCTGAAGTCCTTACCTATGCCTGGGTACCACGTGGACCTTATCACCTAAGAAATGACCTCTCGCTAACTCAGTACTTTCTCCTGACCCCAGAACACTCATATCGGCAGGACTGTTCTGTCTTCCTGCTTTATCCTTCAGCCATGTATGTTTAGGGCCAACATTTCTTCCTCTTCAAATTTACTTAAATACAATCTTGTCAATGAGACCTACTCTAAGTGTTCTATTTTAAATCGCAGACATCCCTGCCCTTTGCTTTTGTCCCTTTATTTTTATGTCACTCTTTACTTTCATTATTCCATGCACCTTGCTTACTTATTATGACCACTGCCTGTTAATTTTTTTCTCAACTTGAAGTATTGTCTCCCAAGCGTAGAGGCCTCTCATTGTTTGTCCATGAACACCCTGGTATCTACAGTGGTGCCTGGCTAGAGTAGATATTCAACTCCTACGTCAACTGAAGGAGTTGAAGGAATAAAAGACAATAGCCAGCAGAGAGTACTTCAGTGGGCATTAAAAAGAATAATTCCATAAACAAGTACAGTTCTGTGTAAATTTCACTGGGGAAAAATGTTTTCCACTGTTAAAACTCCTACTCTACATAATAGCAGATGCCATATACCTCATTTAAAATATCTCTTAAGATTGTGATTTATCTTACTTAGTGATTGGCTCAGTAAATTAATATTTGCATTGTTTAGCTTCAACAAACCAATGGATATACTAGTGTATAAAATATGGGCAAAATGAAGTCTTTTTTATCAAGATTTAACTGTATAGTTAAAAATAACAAGGAAAAATAGCAATATATATGGACAGAAAAATTCAATACAGAGAAACAATATGGAATGAAAACCACCAACAGTTCTTAGATGCAGCAGAGAATTAAGGTCACAGGGCAAAGCAACATCCCCAGCACTAGACAGTAGATGATTCTGACAGGCACAGCTCACAGGCAGCAGAAACTACTGCAGGGTTGAACAACTGGCAGGAGCATTTAAAGGGTGATTAATTGGTGGAAATTAAGAATGGAGTAGCTTGGGAGATAAGCTCCTAAAGAGGACATCCCCGCATTCCTGAGTCTTTCTTCCCAGAGCCTCACAATTGTTCAGGGGAGGACTGAGGAAAAATCCACTGGCGCCTTCAGTACAGTGAAAGGGAAAATGACCATCCTACAATATGCCCAGAACACTATGGTTTCCTTTCTTAAAAAGTTCTTTCTTCAAGGAAAATCATTTCACCGCAGTTTAACCGACTTGATGGGTTTTATCACAGCCTGATCTTCTATGTAAAGAAGAGGAAACAGCCAACTTCAGTCTCCTCTGTAATTCCATGCAGGGAGGGGAGAATCCTAATTCTAGCCTTGACTAACCATTCTGGTTCCCTACAGGAGAGGAAAAAGTTGAGCTGCACTTGTGAAGGTCACATCTCAGATACACAGATTATTGAAGGCTTCTGCCCCCAAAATCTCACCAACACATCAGCAGGGCTCCTGTGTAGTGACAGGAGACCCCAGCTGAAAGACTGACATTAAGACCTTGCCTAAGACGAAGTCTCTAGGGAAAGACGAGAAAGGAGACAGAAACAAGGACACTATGCGGAACTTCATCCTCTGACGTTCACAGCTACAGCAGGGTAAAAACAATCCAACTCCATACCAGACAAGCATGAAACCTCACACTGAATGACTATTTGCCTCATTTCCTTTACCTGAAAGGTCCTATTGGCTTTCCAAAACAAAACAAAGCAAAGAAAAACAAGATAAAACAAAACAAAACTTTTCCAGAGTATGTTAAATGGCAAATTACAAAAAAAAAAAAAAAAAAAACCTTAGAAGTTATGTTAAAAGGTAAAAAGTAGTCTAGTACAAAGAAGAGACAAAGCAAGTAAAAAATACCAAAGTCACACATGGCAGAGATTTTGGAATTACCAGAACAGAAATTTAACATGCAATAAATATATTAAGGGTTATTATAGGATATCAATAAAGAAAAGATGCATAAAGTCAGTAAAGGGATTGAAAGTCTAGAAAAAACTTTAAATGAAATTATACAAATTAAAAGTACAACAATAGGAGTTAAGAATGAGCCAGCCATAGTAG